CTCGGTGACGCCGACCTTGTTGGCCAGCTCCACCGTAGTCTCGACGACTTGTCTGTAGTTGCGACGGTCGAGCGCCATTCGCCGCACCCAGAAGTTCTTGAAGTACTCGGGCAGCATCTCGTCGCGCAGGAACGCGCCCGTGACTCCTTCGGTGGCGGAGCACTGCTTGACGACCTTGAGGACGATCTTCTTCATCTCTTCGTCGGCGCTCTGGAACTCTCGTATCAGGGTCGGCGTCACCTCTTTGACAAAGTAGAGTGTACTGTCGGAATCCATGAGCGGGATGATGAAGCCGATCGCCTTGAGGAAAGCGGCGAGTCCCTTGCCTCTGTGCTGTCGCGTGCCAATCCAGAGCGGCTTGAGCACGTTTTCGAAGCTCTCGATGCCGTAGGGGGCGGCGGCCTCGGCGAGCGCTGCCAACGACAGCGCAGTCATGGTCTTGACCTTCTGCTGCTCGTCTTCGAGCCCCTTCTCGACGCAGTCGACGAGGCTCTTCAGATGCGGGAGGATGGCGCAACCCATCATGATGGCGATCTGCTGGACGATGCGGATGCCCGTGTGGCGCGCCTGCCAGCTTTTCTTGGAGCGGCACACTGCCTTGAGGAAGGGCAGCAGGGCCGGAATGCCGAGAGCTGAAGCGACGACGGAAAAGGCGCGTGCGGTGGTGTTGCGGACGTACTCGTCGACGTGGTCGATGTCGGGCCGCATGGTGCTGATCATGTGGGCCAGACCGGCGGCTTTGGAAAGGTTGCTGATGATCTCGCGGCCTTCGACGCGTGCATAGTAGTCCTCGTCGATGAGAAGGGGCTCGATGACGACGAGGATGCGGCCGACGTAAGGACGGACCAAGTCGTCGAGCTTGTAGAGGATGCGATCGATGACCTTGACGAGCAGGTGGCGTTCCTGGTCCTCCAATGTGCGTTCCATGAGCAATGGCAAGATCTTGTCGAACAGCGGGCCAGGTCCAAAATCGCGGGCACGGTCGGCGATCTGACGCAGCGCAGTCTTTCGCGTGGCAGGCGTTCCGTTTTTGATCTTGAGCAAGAGGCGCATGATCTTCCGTTCCTTTTGCTCCTCGCTGGTGAGGTCGGCTTCGTCTTCATGGGTGAGAATCTTTTTGAAAAAGGCCTGATCTTCCGTCTTGAAAAAGGCTAGCTGGCCGACGCCAGGGATGTCGGTGGGCAGATCCGGAATCATCTGCTCGAGGACGGCGCGTGTTGCGCCTTCATCCTGCATGACGAAGCCACCGGCTGCTTCGGCGCCAAGATGATCCGGCTGCATGTGCGGCGGCACCCGAACGGGCACGTAGTCGGAAGGTGGCTGGACGATGGTGTAGCCTTCGGAGGGCAAGACGGAGTCGAGCTCCTCGTCGGTCATGTATCGGTTGCGCCGATCGGCTGAGGCAGGCTGGCCTGAAGCGGCTTCCTTGCCGAGAGCAGCAAATTCCGCCGAAGAGGGGAGCGCATCGGTGCTGACTGGCGGCGCCTGGTCCCAACGGGAGCGCTTCGCCTCTGTTTGTACGAGCGAAGCGTGGGCAGTGTCGTTGGCGCCATCGGCGTCGGCAGGAACTTCGTCCCAGCGCGATCGGCGCTTGCGTGGAGCCGCCTCGCTTGGCTGCGGTTGCGACTGGGGCTGCGGCTGCAGTTGCGCATCGGAGCCATTGGTGGCTGCTGCGGTGTCTTGCTGGTCATCTGAAGTTGCGACGTCCCACCTTCGCTTGCGCCTCGCCTTGGGCGTGCGCTCGCCGTCGGGTGTTTGCGTCGCGGGGTCGTGCTTGATGTCCCACTCGTCGGTGGATGCATGTCGCGATGAGGGGCCTGCATCTTCGGTCTTCTTTGCCTGTATGAGATTGTGTACGCGCTGCTCCTCGCGTTCCAGCTCGGCTCTCCTCATGCGGTCCTTGTAGCTTTCGTGTTCTGGGGCGGCTTCAGCGTTGTTGCGCGCAAATGGATCGACGGCAGCGCCTTGGTTGAGGTCGCGGTTGAATCTGCGAAGCTGGTACTCGTTCTGACGAGCGGCGATCTGTCTCGATTCGGCACGCGCCCTGAGTGGGTCCTCGTCCTCGTCTGCATACTCGTGGAGGAGGTGCTGCGGAGCCGAGTAGGCGTCAAGCGGATTGCGTCTGCTGCCTCGGCGTCCTGTGCTCGCGCCGTCGGAACCGCTGTCGTCGCTGCTCGTATCTGGCGGCAGTTCGCGCACATACTTGCCCGACCCAGAACCGTGGCGAGACTCTGAACCGTAGCCAGGAAGCGTGCCGGCAGCCACATGATCTTTGCGCATGCTTGCATCACGCACCTGTTGCAGCTTGCGCATCTCCTTTCCGTCTCCAGTCATCCTGATGTTTTGCAAAAAGGGCCGACTAGACGCGCAGCCCGGGCGGAGCAAGACGCTTCGATAGGCGAAATCGAGAATGTGCTCCCTAGTCAGGTAGTCAAGCGCCGGAGTAGACGGGGGCGTGTGTTGTGGTGTCGATGCAAGGTGATGAGGAGCAGCGGGTTGAAAGGACAGAGCGGGCGATGGTGGTGGCGATGAGGGCAGGTCGCCTTCCGCCTTCCGCCTTCCAAAGAGAAGCAGACCGACTGAGCCGATCTATATCCATGAATCGGGGCGATCCTGCTGAATTCGGATCGGATCGCCAATCGATATTCGAATTTCCCGATGGGCACGAAAATTCGGCTTCGGGGAGAATCCGGCCTGCTCGCGACTCAGCCAGCCGACTGAGCCTCCGCCGCCTCGCATTTCGACGATCCATCCATCTATCCATCTTCTCCTCCTCCTCCTCCTCCTCCTC